AAAAAAAAAAAAAAAAAAAAAAAAAGAATTGGGATTCAGTAAAGTTTTCCAGGAAAACATGTCCATGGAATTTTATTTTATTTAGTGCCTTGGAGATAAGTACTAAATAAAGGAGAATATATTTTTGTCACTGTGTTACTCTTCGTATATTATTATTATGATGATGATGATAATGATGATGATGATGATGACAGGGTCTTGCTATGTAGTCCAGTCTGGCCTTGAACTACTATGCAGCCCGGGCTGGCCTCAGCTCAAGACAACCCTCCTAAGTCAGCCTCCAGAGTGGCAGGATTACAGGCATGTGATGCCCTGCTTGTTGTTTTTAAATAGACATCAGCAACCAGAGGGATGAATGATTTTCCTGTGGTCCTAAATCTTGGTGTCAGGGCTTCACCTACAACTATTGATTACCAGTCTGAAGTTTTCCAGAGGGGCTAGTTGACTATCAAAACATTATCTTTTATTCTTTGAAGCATTTTGCAGTATGGACTATACCATCTGTTCTTTAGAATTTAGTGATTCCGCATTTATAGTTCTAAGCCTTTTATCTGTGTATTCCTGTTCATTTTTATGCGCTGGTCCCCTTTTATTCAAGGGAGTAACTCCCCTGTTCTCCCAAGCTCAGAAGTGTGCTTTACTGACAAGGAGAAATGGGGAAACCCCAAGCTATAGTAACAGGAGGGTCTCCTGAGGACAGGTTTCTAAAAGGACCAGCTTCAGCTTCCTACACTCTCTTACTAGGTTGTGTATGTATGGTATGAGTAAACCTAATCCCTGTTTTTTACCTCTAAATTCAAAATTGACTGAAAAATCAAGTAGCTGGGTAATTTCATGAGGCAGCAAGTGATTTAATATATTAGGTTTTGTTGAAAAGATAAGTGAAGTATGAAACAGGTACTGCTTATACTTTGTTTTGTACCTAAGAATAAGTCAGTAGGGTAATCTTGGCCTTTAAGGTTTATAGCTGCTCGTTTCTTTGCTTTTGGGAAGATTTTTTTCTCTCTTGAATATCTAGATGGGAATTTTAATCATTTTACAATTTTGACTGCTAAATAAGATGTGTAATTTTTAGCTTTAATGTTTTAAAATATCTTTGTTTTCATGTTGTTTCTGTTCCTTAATGTTTGAGTCAGTGTAAAATATTAAATTGTGGATTACAATTCTGACTTTATTTGGTAAATTTACTAAGCACCAGAAATTACACATGTAACACGGCAAAAATTAAGTTTTTGGTTGGTTAATTGGTAACTTTGTAGCAAACATTATTTATTGGGAGGACTTAGTTTTGCAAAGGAACATTTTAATTGGTTATAGAGTTCATTGTCCTAAAACAGAATTTACACGAGAGCATACTCACATAAAGAAGTAGTTAATAGAAATCAGTAGACTAAATTGCCCAAATTAAGAGTACAGTATAATATACTTTAGCAGCATAACTTGAATGGAATTTTTATGGGAGGATGACAGTGAATATGAACAATTCTAAGTGGTATGTTACTAGGCCTGGGGATTTAGCTCAGCGGTTCCATGGCCTGCCTTGCAAATGCAAGGACCCTAGTTCAATCCCCAGTACCAAAAAAAAAAAAAAAAAGACTAAGTGGTATGTTATCATTCTAAATGCTTGTTACTAGCCTATATGCCATTTGGTAAATGACAGGAAAAATCAGGTTTTGTAGTATATTTTAGAGAGGATTTTTATATGCTTGAAGATGACTATTGGCTTTTTCCCCCCTTTCCTTTTAGAATATGGTTTCTAGTTTTAGAGTTTCTGAACTACAAGTGTTACTAGGCTTTGCTGGACGGAATAAAAGTGGACGCAAGCATGACCTCCTGATGAGGGCTCTGCATTTATTGAAGAGCGGCTGCAGCCCTGCGGTTCAGATTAAAATCCGAGAATTATATAGACGCCGATATCCACGGACTCTTGAAGGGCTTTCTGATTTATCTGCAATCAAATCATCAGTTTTCAGTTTGGATAGTAGCTCATCATCAGTAGAACCTGACTTGGCTGTGGCTGGAATCCACTCATTGCCTTCCACTTCAGTTACATCTCACTCACCGTCCTCTCCTGTTGGTTCTGTGCTACTTCAAGATACTAAGCCCACTTTTGAGATGCAGCAACCATCTCCTCCAATTCCTCCTGTCCATCCTGATGTGCAGTTAAAAAACCTGCCCTTTTATGATGTCCTTGATGTTCTCATCAAGCCCACAAGTTTAGGTAAGTGTTAGAAAAAAATCACTTTTTCCTGGACAAGAGAGTAAGTACAACGAGGACTTCAGCTGTTGATTAGTACTATAAAATTGAGGCATTAATGCCAAATTTTTAAATGTACAGGAAAAATGATTGGTAATCATACTAGAAATTTAATATGAAACAGTTATTTCATATCATTTGAGTGTCTTTTTCCATTTTTTGATGGTAAAATACAAAATCTAACATCTTGGCCATTAAAAAAATGTACTTTAATGATACTAAATACATTCATGTTCTTAGGCAGCCATCACTGCCCTCCATCGCCAGATTTCTTTTTGTCTTGTGAAACTGAAGCTCTTTTCCCATTATGTAACTTTAAACCTGCACATCCCCCAGTTTCTGGCAGTCAGCATTCTACATTCTTTTTCTTCTGCTGGGAATTGAAACCAATACATTGGGCATGCTCAACACATGCTCTATCACTGAACTATACCTTAGTCCCAACCATTCTTCTATTTTCATTCTAGGGTTTTGACTACTCTTCGGTACTTCCTATAAGTGAATTATTGAAATATTTATCTTATTGTGACTGACTTATTTCATGTAGTGTTTTTAGAGTTCCATATAGTCTATGTCAGATTTTTCTTTTGTTCCTCTTTAATGATAAATAACACAGTAAAAACACATTTTTAAAAACAGGTTGTTTTTTGTGTTGTTTTGTGCAGTGCTACTGGGGATTGGAACCTAGGCCTTCACACTGAGGTGTACCTCAGAACTTTTTAAATTTAGAGACAGCATCTTGCTAAGTCATTGAGTTGCCTGGGCTGGGCTCAAATTTGTAACTTTCCTGTCTCAGCTTTACTGAAAGCTGTTCATTCCTCAGTTTCACTCCTTGAGGCAACAACCTTAGTTATTTTATATGCTGCTGCAGATGCTTACTTCCATGTTTCTGTGTTATCATCTTCTAAACCATGTTTTGCTTATCTTTAATGGATCCTTTAATTGCTTCCACTTTGTAACTACTGTGGATGATTCTTGTAGGAATATGAACTTACACATATCTGTTAGAGGTCCTATATTCTGGCTGTATAGTGGAATTAACTCTACTACATGACTGTTTTAATTTTTTGAGGAATTGTATTTTCCACAGCAGCTGTTCCATTTTATATTTCCATTTTACATTTATAGAAGCTCTGGTTTTTACACATCCTTACCAACACTTCCCTTTCTCCCTCCCTCCCTTCTCTTTCTGTAGTAGCTGTCCTATGTGTAAGAGATCATATATTTGATTTATGTTTCTGTAATGAATGTATTGAGCAGCTTCATATATCTTTTGACCATTTTGGTCAAAATGACATTTTGGTGAAATGTCTATTCAAGTTCTTGGCCCATTTTGAACTGGATGGTTTGGGCTTTTCTTTTTCTTTTTTCTTATCGAGTTTATAGGTACTTTTTAGCCATACAGTACAGTTACTTTTATCATTGGGATCTTGTACCTTTATGTGTCAGATCTTGGTTCTCATTTTTTCCCCATACCCCTGCCTTCCCTTCGCCTCCTCCACCCTCCCCTGTTTACAAAGACTTTGTTTCCATTTTTTTCCTTTTCTCATATTTTTTCTTTTCCCTTATTTCCTTTCCCCTACCCTTCCCACTTGGTTTTTTTTTGTTGCTGTTGTTGCATTTTAGGAGTTCTATGTATTTATAGGTTGTACTCCTTATCAGTTGTCTGATTTCCAAATAATTTTCTCCTATTCTGTGGATTGCCTTTATTATCTATTGGTAATATTTTTTGATGCAAAATTAAGAAAATTTTTCATGAAGTTCAGTGTGTCATTTTTTGAAATGTTGCCTATGCCTTTGTGTCATATCCAGGAAATCATTGCCAAATCACATTTTGAAGCTTTTGTCTTTTTTTTTTTTTTAATAATTTTAGGTCTTACATTTGCATTTGATTCATTTTGAGTTAATTTTGTATATAGGCATTAGGTAAGGGTTCAGCTATTTTTCTGAGTGTGGTTGTCCAGTTTTCCCAAAATCATCTGGGGAGAGAAGACCGTCCTTTCCCCCTTGCATGATCTTGGTATCCTTATAAAAAAATTAACTTTAGGCCTATATTTATGCCAGTACTAAACTGATTTGATTACTGTATTATGCAGTTAAGTTTTGAAATCAGGAAGGGTGAGTTTTCCAGCTTTGTTCTATTTCAAGACTGTTTGGCTACTCAGAGCCCTTGAGTTTCCTTAATATTGTTAGAATGGGGTTTTCTTTTTATAAAAAAAAAAAGTTAATTGAGATTTTCAGATAATTTCATTGAATTGGTTTGGATGGTATTCATTTTGAGAGATTGTGTTGAAACTTTGGATGGTGGTGTTGTCTTCCAACCCATGAACCATATGTGTTTCAGTTTATGTCTTCTTTAATTTCTTTGGGCAGTGTTTTGTAGTTTTCATTGAAGTCTTTTACCTTCTTAGATAAGTTAACTACAAAGTATTTTATTCTTTTTGATGCTACTTTAAATAGAATTGTTTTCATATTGTTCATTGGTACTTATAGAAGGACAACTTGATTTTTGTTAGTTCCTATGGCTTCTTGGCCTTTTGGCTAAGATCAAGTGTTGTATCCTGGTCCTTTCTGAATTTGGTTACTGTTTCCAACAGTTTTTATATTTGGGATCTTTGGGGTTTATTGTATAAAAGATCATATTATCAATGTACAAAGATTTTACTTCTTCCTTTCCAGTTTGTATGCCTTTTACTTAATTTTTCTTGCCTAATTTTCTGGCTAGAACTTTCTCAAGCATTCCCCCCACCACCTACCATTGCATTTTATTTATTTTTATTAGTGCATGTCTGTCATACATAATCATTTATCATGGGGAATTTGTACCTGTACATAATATCTTAATTTTTTTCTCTTCCCTTCAGCTCTTGTTCTCCTTATTTACTAAAGCTTTGTTTCCATTTTTTCTCTTTCATTCTCTTTTTTTAAATCATTTTTTTCTTCCTTCCCTTCTCCCTCCTCCCTTGTTTCCCTTCCTATTTGAACAAATTCTTCCTATTTCCTAATGTATGCCCTGTATTTTGCTCTTTATTTATCCTTTCCTCGAGCATTCTTAGAGTTTAGGACTAAGATCACTTCTATGTGAGTGAGAACAGGTACGCATCTTCTTTGTTTCAGTACTGTACTTTTACAAAGAGACCTAGTTTCTATTTCATAATAGTTTTGAATTGCAAACCTTACATACTTAATTTCTTTTTCTAAAGTGGCACGAGGAGTTTGATGCATTTTTTATTTATATCTGTCAACTGCTCAGAAAATTTGAGAAATTTTATGATATTGTAGGTTGATACATGGGACTAGTAATTCTTTTCCTATTTAATTACTTTTTGTTTTAAAGGTGTAATTCTTAATACCTAATGAAATTATATACAGAGATATTTGGATTTCTTGGTGAAGTAAACTGGGAAAAAGTATTTTGTAGTTAATCTGGAAAATTGTCCTTTTTATCCTGGGAAAAACCTTTTTGTAGGCTCAAACTGTAGCTCAGTGGTAGAGTGCCTCTTTAGCATACACAAGTCCATGGATTCAGTCCTAGTGCTAGCAGGAAAAGAAAGAAAAAAGAAAACTCCCTTAGATATATCAGTGTTCTTTTTTCTTTTCTTAGGGTATTGTCTTTGTGAAGGCTGAAGGAAGTTGTAAGAAATAGGGCTAGTTAGTGGGGTAGTGTGGACTGGCTGATTGCAGGCCATGCCCCCCCTTCACAAGTAATGAATTTTATCACTTTGTTACATTGATTCTGAAATAATGATTCAGTATTTGTTCACATTTTATTATTTATTTGTACAAGTCCTATAAGAATTATTAGGTCAAATTATTAGGTCCATTGTTTTTATAAACATTAATTTGTCTTCCCTAAGATGTGAGATTTTTGATAATCTAGTATATTGCCAAGTCAGTTTCAGACTACTATGCCAATTTAAATTTCACAAACAAGTGAGAAAATACCTACCCTGTACTTCTTGCATTTTGTGGGGGTAGATCCTATTAAAAACATTTATTTATTTATTTATATTTTTTTGTACTGGGTCTTGAACTCAGGACGTTGTACCTGTGAGGCAGGTGTGGTGCCACTGAGCTAAATCCCTGGCCCTTAAAAACCTTTTAAATTTTTATATACATACTTATATCTTGTTATAGGTTTTTCATTTTAAAAATTAATAACTAATAAAGTTTTTAAATATTTACTACCTATTTGGTTTCATTGATGTCTTTTCATTTTTAATCTTTTAAAGGTTCATTTATCTGGTTAAAATCTTTCTTTCTTAGTGATCATTGCAAAATTTTTTGTATTTTGAGGATTTAGATGACTAGAGATATTTATACTGTAGTTTTGATCTAGAATGTCCCATGTGTTAAAAGACTTGGTTCCCATCTTGGTGCTTTTGGGAGGTTATGGAACCTTTATAGAAGTGGGGCATAGTGGGAGGTGTTCAGGTCATTGGGGGTGTGCTCTTGAAGGCAATTAGGAGATCCCAGTCTTCCCTGTTTCACTTCCCAATTATATTGTGAGAGGTTTTGAGCTTCCATTACCTCTCATCATTATGTACTGCCTTAGGCTCACAGCAATAAGACCAGCTAGTCATGGGCTGAAACCTCTAAAACTCTGAGCTAGAATAACACTTTTTTTCTTTGTAAATAGATTTATTTCAGGATTATGTGATAGTGATAGAAAGTTGGATAACATACTTGGGTAATCCTACCTAATGGGACTCCTTTGAATATGGCTAAGGAGGGTCTGTAAGGTAGCAGTTACACCAAATGGAGTTTCAGAAGTATGTTTGACTGCTGGAAAAGAAGGTCGGACCAAGAGAAGATATATGTGTTGTGTTCTGTATTCATTAACATTAATGGTACTCTGAAGAGGTGGACTCTGCAGAAACCTTATACTTTTTCCCCTTATTTTCTTGCTTTGTTTGGAAATAAAAATAGGAATTTTCTTATTTTGCTCTATTTGTCATAAGGTC